CCTGGGAACTCCCTCTAGACTTTCTCCCCATTACCTCTCACAGTCAACTTACTGGGACCAGTGGGCTCTGCCTTTAAAAGGATCTCCCTCTGTTTCTGACTTTGTCACTCTTCCCATTTACACGGGGCTCCCTGGTACCACTCTTGCTCACCTGGAGTCACTTCTCTACACAGCATGAAAAAAAAGTCAGCTTTGAAAAGGTAAATTTACCTGTATCACTGCCTGACTTTAAACCTTTCAATGGCTTTTCACTGCCTTTAGAATAAAATTCAGTTTTCACCAGAATCCTTAAGGCTCTCCCTGATCTCACACTTGGTCAAGTCTCTGATCTGACTCACTTCTGTATCCCTTCTGCTCATAAGACTTCTTTCTCTTTCTCAAACAAACTCTGCATGTTCTCACCTAAGGGCTTTTGCACTTGTTCTTTCTCTGGAAAGTTCTGCTCCTAGATCGTCCCATGGTATGGTATGAATGGAGATATTCATCTGCTGGGGAGGTCTTCCCCAATCACACAACCCAAGACAGCCACCCTAACCCTAGTCACTAATTATTACCATTCCATTTCCTTCATAACACACACCTCACCTCTCATACTACTCTATTTATTCAACAGGTACCTTTCTTCTACTTGCTCAATCCCCTTATGGATTCTCACCTCTTAGGAACAATGGGATATGTAAATAGGTAATATCTGCTGAATGAAAGAAATATTACATAGATACAAAAATGTCTTTGGACTCGGGAGGATGAGGCAAGAGAATCGCCAATTTCAAAGCCAGCCTATACAATTTAGCCAGACCCTGTCTCCAAAAATAAAAAGGGCTGAGGTGTGTTGGCGGGGTGGGTGGTTCAGAGGTAAAATAATCCTGGGCCTCAATCCCCAATACTATACCACAAGAAAAGAAAACTAAAGCCTAACTGAGTGGAGCAAGCAAGCCTGTAATCCCAGTGACTTGGGAGGCTGAGGCAGGAGGATCACAAATTCAAAGCCAGCCTCAGCAACTGAGCAACCAAAACAACATAGTGAGACCCTATCTCAAATTTAAAAAAGGGCTGGGATATGGCTCAGTGGTTAAGTGCACTTGGGTTCAATCCCCGTTACCAAAGAAAGAAAGAAAACAAAACTTAAAAAGAGAACAAGAAAGAAAAGGCTGCTTTAAACAAAATGATAATTCTGGAAGAACACAAAGATTCAGATGTACAAGAGGCTAAGGCAGACTTACTATTGAAGTCAGAAATAGTGCTCTCCAAATTCTTGTGAAAATCCTCAAAGAAACTAAAAATAAAAAGCTGAAGTAGAATGAGCCTGTGGACTAGAGAGATGCTTTAAAACTGGTCAGATCCTTGCTGGACCTGGGCTTTGTTCAGATCTTCCCAAACTAGAAGGAAAAATGGAATATAGATAGTGTGCTCTAGAGATCCTGGAATGAGCCAAGACCCTGTAGGATCTGCAAAAAGGTTAATCATTTCAAGTTAATTTAGATGCACTGTTGAATTCTGACTCTCAAGTTTAATACAACCTTTCTATTCTCCAATCCTCAGAAATTTTCACTCTTACATAACACACATTTACACTTAATGAGTACCCAAAAACCCTAAGCCCTTTGAACGAGGTCATCTTTTCAGAGAGACTCAGCCCATAGTCTAATTGGACATGCTAGTCCCATCTGCAAAACTCCAGTAAAAGCTGCAGTTAATATTAATTAAGAGCAGAAACAGGTTTGAATATCCTTTCTCTCAATCAAGTCCAACATGCTCCCAAATGGAAACCTGCCAGCTTCCCTGCACTTGAGATAGCAGATCGAGTATAGAACAATGGGACTTTTTTTAATACCACTATTTGTCCAATACTTGAAAAAGGATTTTCATATCCTTCAGATATGACCCAGCAAAAGAAGTTATCATTAAAGGTTAGAATTTTTAATGGTAGTCATTTTAGAGTTCCAGCTCTGTGTGTCCATGTACTCATTACACCTACCTGTATGCACACACAAACACACAAGAAAAAAGTAACATTCTTTGTGATAGAATAAGATCCAGTCCCTGGCAATCTAAGGTAACTCTCCTTTCTATTTACTCACAGTGTGCTAAAGAAAATTCAAGCAAGCCAAAGATTGGGGGTGGGCCTCCAAAAAAGGTATTTGATAAGCCTCAGCCTGCACTGCTCCAGGCAGCCTTGGAAGGAACAGTTATCAGGAAGCTAATCTCAGATCCATCCAAATACAAACTTTTCCCACAGATCAGAGATAATTAAACAGAATAGACTTGCTATTTGACTTCTGGCGAAGATGTAGACAGTAAATGTCCCATGCCTTCAACAGACTTACTGAACCCTTTGTAGTACATTGGGGTAATCTGCCAGACTCCAGTTTCAGAGTGTTTAATGGAATCTGGTATAGGTGGAAGGGGCAACAAGGAGCACAACAAGATTATCTTGATGCTTGGGCTGGAAGTATAGCTCAGTAGTAGAGAGCTTGCCTAGCATGTAAAAGGTCTTGGGTTAGATTGCCAGCATTGCAAAAGAAAACAATGCTATTGCCCCTAGCACCTTGAACACTGACACATTCCAGGCACTAAGTAAATATCTCCTGGATGAATTAGGCATTTATTATGTTGCTATAACTATATGCAACAGTAGCAACAAAATCAACAGGTTATGCATGTACAAGAGGAAAAGTGGATTCTGCCAAGGCAGGTAAGGAAAGGCTTACTTCCCAGAAGCAATGTCAGAGTGGCCCTTTCCTGAAGAGCAGCCTTTCATCAGGGAGTGGCTGAAGGAGAAAGCCATGCAGCCTGGAGTGTGCCTGAATCCAGGCTACAGCAGATGGCCTGAGCTACTTTCCAATTCAAATTCCAACAAAGGTTGTATTTCCTGGGGTTTTGTTGTGTTTCATCATCTCCTTCAAACCTTCAACTACAAAAGCATACATATACACTGTTGTTGTGCTTCTCTATCAGGAAATTAGCTAAAAAGCAAACAGCAGATAACAGATATAAAAATAAATACCCGTAGAATGCTTTTTTATTTACCAGGTAGTGGGTCTCTAGGATTCTTAGCCATCCACCCACCCCAGCCTCAAGCGCTGCAACTATAGGTATATGCCACTATACCCAGCCTCACTTAAACCTTCTAAGTGTGAAAAAATCATCTCAGGTCACAGGCCCCAAGTCCATAACAAATTGCTGGCCTCTTCTTTCCTGATAGTTTTTTAATTGTTTCATGCAAAAAAAAAAAAAAAAACCTTGATACCCAGAAAAAGAAATTTCAACTTTTCAAAGTCACGTCTTACTCCAAGGGAAAACAGGAGGGGGTGGAAGAATGAAGATACCTGAAAGAATAAAATTCAGGAGAGGAAAGTTAAAATGGTATAAAACAAAGGGAGGGAAGGGTGAATAGCAAGTGGAAAGTTTTCAAAACCCTGCAAAAAGAAGCCACTTCTCATCAAATGATCTTTTAAAAAGAAAGGCTAGGAGCCCAGCCCCAGGAGGTACAGTGAGAATACCTTCATGCCAGAAGGAAATAAGTCACCAATTCAGGTATAGAGGGTGTTGTGGATGGGCTCCAGGTCACCTTGAGGTCCTGCACTCTCCTCCCCCAAGGAGAAGCCTCACAAAAAACCCTCTGACTACCCTCCCCCCCAAACTGCATTCCAAATACAGAAAGTATAAGAAACATTTGAATGTGGTATTAAAATTAAAATAGGCCCGCTTGAGATAACAATATCCACAGGAGAAAATTCAAAGTGTAATCTGGTAAACATAACGTTTCCATCTGAAACGTGGGGGCGAGGGGAAGAGTGTTCTTGGGAATAAAAGCTTGCTTTTACAACCTGCTTAAGAGGTAATGAATAAACTGCTTTGCAGATGTTCTCAATTCCTTGCTTTTAAAGCGTTGCTCCTGTTTCCCAGCACTGTCCTCCACCCTCCTCTTCACACTAATCTCTGCTTCTGAAATGCAGATCCCTGGATAATTAGCCCGTAATGGACAATAACCACCTAGGACAAGATGAGAACTGCGGGCTAGAGTCAAGGACCCCGTCTGCAATAACATGTTTCCAGGAGAGTTGCTAATTACGAGCACCACGCATCCCAGAAGGGCTGTGTACCTGGCAGCACCTCCAGCACTACCTCTCGCCTTTTCATGCCAATTTGTTTGGAGCTGGTATGAACGTGGAGTGGGAGAAGGCAAAAGGGATGAGCTGACCACTGTCAGACTACCGTAGGAGATAGGTGATCTCTATCCCCAGCTTCACCACGCCAGCCGAGGGAAGCAATCGAGAAGCCATTTCCAAGAAGGCTGGATTCAAAATGTAATTTAACAAAACGAGTCTCCTTAGTCTCCTGGCGGCCAGGCCTCGGCTTGGCGGGTGGGGGGTAGGGAGTTGGTGGGGGAGAGTTTAGCTTTAGGGGAGCGAACTGATAGGCCTTTCAACGCCACCAAGGGCTCTGCCCCGAGGCCCAAGACGACGCCGAGGGGCTGAAGCGGCGCTCGGTAGAAAGCCCAGCGGTGCCGTGGGCTCCCCAGCGCGCAGCGGGGCAGGACTCCCACAGGTGGGCGGCGCTGGGCCCCGGGAGCTCAGGCTGGGGAAGGAGACGCGCGGCTCACTAGGGAGCTGGGGGATGGGCTGGAGGGGACCCAGGGGCTGAGGGACCGCTTGGTCCAAGTAGGCAGCGTGTAAGCGAAGCTCAGGGTTTTCTGCTGCCTGGCTCTGGCTCCCTGAGCCCGGTAGTCACGGGCTTTTCCACCCAGGCAGGAGGAGCTGCAGGTCCCTCCTACTATCCTCCCCAGAGCCGGTGCCTCCTCCCCGGGCGCGGTTAAGCCGCGCGGCAGCGGGCAGCCGCTGCATGCTCTCCTGCACGTAGGAGCCTGCACCGCCACACGCGGGCGGGGGAAGGGCGCCGGGGACCGAGAAGACCCGGCCCCTCTCAGACAGTGTCTCTCCCCCGCCTAAACCGACCCCGCTCGGCTCACCCCCGCCCCTCCCCCCACAGCCCCTCACCCGTGTTGGCTTTGAGGTTCTCCCGCAAGAAGTGGCCACTGGAGAGATGCTGGAGGCCAAAGTTCTGGGCGATCCTCTGGCAAACGGTGCCCTTGCCCGAGCCAGGCGGCCCTAGGATGACCGCGCGCAGGAGTTTGGAAGCCATGGCCTTCGCGAGGAGGCGAGCGGCCCAACAGGCAGCCCAGACAGCGGCCCCGGAGGCAGCCCCGCGAACTTTGTTTCTTGGCCCCTGCCTCAGGAACCCTCTGCTCACGCGGGGACTCTCCTGCCGCCCCTACTGGGGAAAGGAGAGACTTTTAAGACAACCCCTCCCCTCAGCCCCGCCCTCCGCCACCTCCTCGCCCCCAGGCAGCAGTTATGGAGAACTCCAATGCCCCCGCCCAGCGTAGTCAGCCCTCGGGGGCGCGGAGGTCGGCCCGCCAGTTCCAATCTCGATCCCTTCCGCTGTCTCACTCCCACGCCTTGTCCTAGGAGGGAGTCGTGTGGCCAGGCATCCCCAAACCAGTCTCGGACTAGCTAAGGAAACCGAGATAAGGGGGTGACTCAAAGCGCGCCCCCGCCGCCCCGCCGCTCCGGGCATCCTGGGACTGAGCCCCTGCGCGATTCCTGCACGTGGGCAGCACCTCGGCCCCTCCCGGGCGGCTGTCACATTCTCTGTAGTCACTGTGGCCGCCGCCGCTGCCCGCCGCCCGCGCGCAATTGGAGGGGCCCACCTCCGCCCGAGGTTGGCAGATGCGCTCCTCAGCCAAGGGCCAGGCGCAGAGCCGGAGCCCCGCGCCTCTCAGCCAAAAGCAAATAAACACACCTCGGCTGAAAGTAGCGCCACCAGAGACACCCAGCCCGGATCCCAATGGGCGGCGCCGCCTCCGCCTGTTCAGTCTCCGAGCCCAGGGCGGCCGCCCGGGATCGCTTCTTACGTAAGCCGGGGAGACCAGCTCAGTTCTAGCCACCGGCCGGCGCCCCCTCTATTCCCCCCGCCCCGCCTCCCCAGGCCCACGTGTTCCCCAAGACCGTGTGGGGGCTGCGGAGGCGAAGGAAGGTGGAAACGACGCAAGAGAAAGAAACCCCCTTTTTTTGTATTGCCTAGGATCTATTGTGAAGGAAAAGGAAAAATAACAACTTGTTGAGCGTATTCCGCTTGTCAAGTTTGAAGCTATGTGATTTCATTATTCAACGACCTTTCAGGTATAGATCAGGAAAGGAGTCTTGGCGTGGTACCGTTCATTCTTTTATACATAATTCAACAGCGTTTTGGTGAGCGCCTATTATGTGCCAGACACTTTTCTGGGCGCTTGGGGCATAGCCATGAACAAGTGATCGAATCACTGCGCGCATAGCAATGATGTTCCACAAGTAGTTTCGAACCCTGTCATATTCCAAAGCCCGAGCGCCTTGGGAAAGAAGAAGGAGGGGATGTCTTTTACTTGTGCTCAGGAACTTAGAGCAATGCCTACTGATTCCAAGGATTTCCATGTCTAAGATGTTGGCCCCACACCCACAACTCAAATGGAAGCTGTCTCTGTGCGCAGCTCTCCGCACATCCCCATCCATATTTTCTTCATTCTGTTCTTAGCTTACCCACAGCCCTCCAATTTCCCACACTAAATAGTACCATAATCCCTTAACTCTCCATCTTTCGCGCCATTCTATTTTCCATGCAGTTGTTGAAAATATTGCTTAAGTAAAAAAAAAATCAATACTTTATTTCTCCACTGCAGAATAAAGTAAAAAAAAAAAAATCTACAGCAAGGGCTCAGGGATGGCTTCTACATGTCTTTGCATTCCGCCTAGACTCTTTCTTGCTCTTCCTTCCGCAGGCCTCCTGCTCTTTGGCAATCCACTGCAGAATTCTGAGCGCCAATATCTGTAACTCAAGAGAGTGTGAGGGACACAGTAGTGACACTGGGAAGAAGAACCTTCTCTAAATTCCTGGTGGCTCTGTTTCTGTGATGGGACAAGGGGTAGAGCTTGCCTTGTATCCTACCACACAATCCTTCTCCTCTTCCAACGCACAGAATTGACCAAACCCCATACCCAGGACACCAACCTTTACACCAGCATTTGTACCATTGACTAAACTCCTAATATATCTCAGAGTGTGTTCTAGACCATATACTGAGCACCTTCAGCCCTTCACTGCATCAAAGAGGAGGAAGGGCTTCTGGGGGAGAAAGTGTTGCTTAAATTTTCCCTTTTCTTTCTGCTGTATGTTGTATAACACGTGGCAGGTAATTCTGTGCAGCGTTGTCAGATAAGAGCATGCATCAGAATCACCTGGAGGCCTTGCTAACACATTTTTGCTGCCAGAGGGGGTGACAGAAGTCGCTGTAGTTGTAGCGACTCTGGAGGCCGAGGCAGAAGGATCCCAAGTTTGAAGCCATTCTGAGCTATTTAGCTAAGACCATAAGCAACTTAGCAACAGCCGGTCTCAACATAAAAAATTAAAAGGACTGGGGATGCAGTCAGTGGTAAAGCAGGTGCAATGGCTGAGGCCTTATAATCCAACGATTTAGGAGATTAAGGAAGCAAGTGTGAGACTAGCCTCAACAATTTAGGGAGGCCCTCAGCAATTTAGCAAGACCCTCAAAATCAAAATAAATTTTAAAAGGACTGGAGTGAAGATATAGTTCAGTGGTAAAGTGCTCCTGGGTTAAATTCTCAGTACCAAAGATAATAATAATAATAATTGATTCTGGTGGAGCCTGGAACTGGCTTGAATTTCAGCAATTTGGAAGCATGAAATAGGAAATCCTAAATTTAAGACTAGTATGGGCAATTTGGTAAGATCCTGTCTCAAAATAAAAATATATGGGGCAAGCCTCTTGATATCTGTGAGTCTTAGTTGGCTGATCTGTAAAAGGAAAAAAAAATCCACCTCAAAGACTTGTGGTGAGGCTGAAATGAAACCACAATATGAAGGACTAAGCAAAGTGCTGAGCGTATAATTAGCATTCAATTATAAACATCATCGCGCCATTAACCATGGGCCAATTATTTGGCCTCTCTGAGTTTAAGTTCATGAAATTCAAAGAATAAATAAGATAATACTATAACAAAGCACCAAATAGGTTCCCTGGTGCTTGGAAGGTACTCAGTAAATTACTGAGAGGTGAGAGGTTTTGTTTTTTATCTTTTATTTTGAGACAGGATCTCCGTAAATTGCTGAGGCTGGTCTTAACCTTGGAGTCCTCCTGCTTCAACCTTTGAAGTACCTGGGATTATAGCTCTGCACCACTACTAGCCCAGATATCTCAATTGTTTATTATAGTAACGGAAAGCTGAAAACACACCTCTGTTCATGCTGACTTCATCTCATTGTTTATGGCCTCCACCAGCACAAGATAGAATGCAGGGTGTGGAGAGCTTTGAGCAAGAGTTGAAGGGCTGGCTGACAACTGAACAAATAAGGGAAGATCTTTCTCTCTTTGTTTTCTGTGAAGCTCCTCTGGACAGATAAGAGAAAGGCTAGAGACTTAAGATGCCCTGCCGCAGTCTGGCTGGGCACAAAATCACGAGCCACCACACACCTTGTAGATTCAAACAGACACTCTTTATTCTGGAACTCACACCGGCCCTCTACAAACAGATTCTGGGGAAAATCACGTTCTGGGGCAAAATTCAAGTACTCCACCAGGCTTTGAATCCCAAATAATTTCTGAATCCCACGAGAACTCAACAGGAACTCAAGGATCGGGCGTGCCTGAGGCAGCAGGATATGCCCTATTCCCTGCAGGGTACACCTTAAACCTGGAACTGCCCTAAACCCAAGGAGCAGGATACTCCCTAAAACCTGATCCGCCCTAATCCAGTAGGATCCTCCTTAAACCCAGATCCACCCTGGTCCTTGAGCAGGGTCACCTTTCTCAAACATATATGTAGTGTCACTTCAAATGTCCATTTCCAGGAGTCCTTCCTCTAAGCAACATGGGGTACGCTGGCAAGGAAATTTTGATGCATCATTCCTACTTGGCAATGGCTCTCAGCAATGCCCAGATTCAGAAAAGAAAATAATGGAATGAAGACTAGCTGGGCACCTTGACACACATCTTTAATTGCAGAGTCTTGTGAGGTGGAAGCAGGAGAATGGCAAGTTCAAGGCCAGTGGGGGCAATTTAACAAGACCCTGACTCAAAGTAAAAATAAAAAAGGCTCTAAATGGTAGAGTATTTTTCTAGTGTGTGTGAAGTC